AGAGTGAGGTTGTAGAAGAGGGAGGTTGTAGAAGAGTGAGGTTGTAGAAGAGTGAGGTTGTAGACGAGTGAGGTTGTAGGAGAGTGAGGTTGTAGGAGAGTGAGGTTTTCGGAGAGTGAGGTTGTAGGAGAGTGAGGTTTAGAAGAGTGAGGTTGTAGAAGAGCGTGGTTGTAGAAGAGAGAGGTTGTAGGAGAGTGAGGTTGTAGGAGAGTGAGGTTGTAGAAGAGTGAGGTTGTAGAAGAGAGAGGTTGTAGGAGAGTGAGGTTGTAGAAGAGAGAGGTTGTAGGAGAGTGAGCGTCTGACTTCCTGTTTGGACTCTGCGTGTGGAGACAAAATGGCTTCCTCGGCAATGAAGGAGGAGCTGTCCTGCCCGGTGTGCCGTGAGGTGTTCAGGGACCCCGTCTTCCTGCCGTGCAGCCACAGCTTTCTGCAGGGAGTGTCTGCAGAGGTGGTGGTGGGGGGGGGGGCGGGGTGAGTACAGGGGGGCCTACAGGAACAGGGACTTAAAGCCGGGCCTGTGGGTGCTGAAGTTCGAGGGCTCCCAGAACTGGTTCCTGTCTCCCTCCAGCCGAGGCTTCGTCCGGCTCAACGAAGTACGGGGCAGGTTTAGGAAGATAGACGTCTACCTGAACTGTAACAAAGAGAGGCTGTCCTTCTACGATGCCGACTCCGACTCCTGCATCCTCTGCTTCAAACTCACGGCCTACGACAGGCTGTTTCCATACTTCAGTAATGGGAACAGATCCCCTCTCAAGATCTTACCGGTGACAAACTCAAGTAACATTTCACAACTGGTAAAGCTGGCTCTTGTTTTTTTGCTTATTGTCTTCATCCTGTGTTTGATCCCTCAGAAAAAGTGAACGAAATCCTCTTTTAACAGCGAAAAAAACTGCATGTTGTAATCTTTTAATGATTTACTTTTGTTACTTTTCCATTCGGAGGCCTGAGCGATGCCGATTTGCTGTAAAAAAAAAGACAAAAAAAAAAGGCTGAAAATGACGCTTAACCGCAAATATCAGAAACCTTTTGACCCACAAAGATGAACTCAGAGAACTCCTGAAGATTTACGTGACAATTAAGACGCGTGGGAACGTGTGTCATAAAACACATTCTGTATGAATTCTGTATGTTGAATGGAAATAAATGTTCTCTCTTTACAAAAAGCTGGCCGTGATTTGGGACTCCTTCCAGCTCTGATCCTGTAAAAAAACGGGCCTCCCTGTAGTAAAGCGATGCTTTCTCATCCACCTGCAGATTCACTATTAAAGCAGACCGACTCCATCCCAACAATGGGTGAAAACAGGAAGTTTTTATTACAATAATGAATAATATAATAAATATATACAATATACAATAATACATTTTATTACCACTTTCAGTCAAACCAGGCTTCCTGAGGGCTGGTCCGAATTTCTGCTGATTAATCTGTTCATTAGGGTTAGGGTTAGACAGACTTTTCGCAGCCTGATCCAGCCAATATAAAGTGCTGAGTCATGTTAAGGGACACCACCAACTTGACAGTAACTCAGCGGATTAAGCTGAAGTGGTCCAGAGATTCCAGGTAGAGACATAAACCAACTATCTGGAATCTGGACTCCAGATCCATTCAAAACCTGAGTCTGGAACCACAGACCTGAGGAACGGAACACCAGCTAAAAGAATTAAGAATTAAGAATTAACTTAATAAAAGAAAACTGGCTAATGACAGCATTAATACAAACTACAACTGTAAAAAAGTATTCGATTTTACATAAAATTACTTTAATTAATTTAGCTTTTTTATTATTTTCAATAAATATCAAATTGATATTAAAATAATATTAAATATTGTATATATTTGGCTATTTTGGAATGAGATCTACTTAAATTCGGTAGATTATGGCTGCGTCACACTGAAACAGATTGTAATTGGCTTTAATTTTCCACTTTAAAACCAAGATGGAATTTATGATTCGGTGGTATACAAAGATTGTTTCAATTTTATTTAAAAAACAAAGAAAAAGAAAGAAAGAAAGAAACAGCAAAATGTTGTTTTTAAAAAAATAAATAATTGGACGAAGACATTCCATCCATTGATGTCACTCCCTGTGACATCACTGTCATGGTGACTGTGATGTCACAGTGAGTGACATCACTGTGACATCACTGCAGGGATTGTATATATAGGGGGGCGGAGAACTTTCAGTTTGCTTCCAGAAACCTCACAGCCTTTCACGCTGCTCGTGCACGACATTTCTTCACCGGCTAATCTGCACCAGAGCTACAAACAACCAGAAAAATGAACACGAAAGAATCTCTCAATGCACCACGGAGCGACAAGGTGGAAGACGCGCTTTCGGATAATGACGTCTTTTTTGAGTGCCATTCCCCCACTCACT